ATCCTTATCTAAAAACAGCAACAAAATTCAGCAATTTCCAAATACCTTGTTTTTTTAAAAAAAGTTCTTATTTTCTTTCATGTACTTATGAAACACATCTGTGTGATCTTCATATACTTGAACCCTGAAATGGCAGAGAACAGAATGGCTGTTCTACAGAAACCCATTAGTTTCATTCCCTGTGGGGCTGTGAAAGAACAGCTAACACTAGCACTTTTTCATTAAGATCCAGTTTACTTTAAGATGCTTCCTCCATTTTGCTTTTTACACGTTCAGTGGCAAGATATGTAGCACATGTACTCTTGAGGCATTTATTCCAAATGCCAACAGCCAAACTTCAGGTCATATAACTACACTGCAAAATAGGAAAATGTGGAGGTAATTTAGTCAACAGAATGGTGCTGATAATTATGTAAAGTGTTTTAAAAGTTGATTACAAGCAGCTTCTCCCTACCAAGCTGTCCAAGAGCATGGGAATGCAGCTGACAAGGTGTTTCTCAATACTGATGGTTAGCTCAGAACTGACACTGTATGCGTTCACATGACTGCAGGTCAGCTCAAAACAAGTCAGAACAAGCTTGCACCTGCTTACCACATGATGTATAGGGACACTTCCCACTTTGTAGAGCACTATTAAAGATGTATCATGCTGTAATCCTTTATCATTTACAATTCTGAGCTATTTCACAATATAGAAGCAATGCTGAAAAAGCTTTTAGGTCTAATATTAAATACAGCTCACTGTGCTCCAACAAAACTTTGGAAAAATGCATCTCTTGTTTCTTGAGTTGCTACTCAAGCATGCAGCTCAGATGAGGAAAACTTTGGCTGGGACACCAGTCAGGGAAACTGTATCGCTCGGCTACAAGGGAACATAAATATCCTTAAATAGTGGCACTGTAAATGCAATTAATAATTTCAACTGGAATGCACGGCTTCAGAAGCCAGCATTCAGCACTTCTGAATTAACCTTTCTAAAGATCTGTACACCTGTCTATCTTGCATGCCTGCTGTCTATCTGCATGTCTATCTTGTGGCTGTTACAACACAAAGCGGGCAGTCTTTAGAAACCATGCAAACAACGCATCAATAAGCTTCTAAAAATATCTTTAATAATACATTTATTAAAAAAAAAAAAAAGTCCTCTTTTAAACACAGTACTTAACTTAGCCCTCAAGCCACCAAGTGGACGTGTTTATAGCCAGATGAGCTGCCCTATTTTTAGCACTGGAAACGCTACACCGCAAGGTACAACTGGTAAATCAGACATTGCCTTACCATCCTGAAACAAACACCTAGAAAAGAAAGAAAAACAGCATGAAATTACTTCAAACAGCACCGTTCCTGAAGAAAAAACCCAGCTGTGGAAGTTTACTACGAACTGCACAGGGGCGCATCCTGAGGGAAACTGACCCCGAGCGCAGGCTGCCCGACCATTTTCACTAACGGAGCTGGCGGCGGTTTCTCAAATGAAAACACAGAGTCTGGGAACTGCCCTGACCTCACACCCGGCAAAACTGCCGCCAGCACGCTGACAGAAAACGCGGGCCTGACCGCAGGTAACGACACGGCCTTTCGGCACAGCGCCTCGCAGAGCACGGCCGGCCTTCCGGCGCCGCACACAGTCACTCTCCTCCCCTCATGAGGGGCCGCGAGCCCCCCAGCCCACCCGGCTTGGAGCCGACGCCTCGGCACCGCCCGCCCCGCGCGCATGCGCACAGTCAGGGATCGCCGCTTGTGCCGCGCGCCCTTGGCGCCGCCTCAGCACTGCCGCCCCAGCCGGCGCGCAGCCTGCCGTTACCTTGCACTCGTCCGAACACTTCGTAATCCACCGACTTGAGCGCGCTGGAGGCCTTCGTCAGCGCAGACATGGCGGCCGTGCGGACGGAGTGCCGCTGCCGTGCAGCAAGCGCTCCACGGACCGAAACCGAGCCGGGCCGCCGAGTCCCGTCAGCGAGCGGCGCGCGGACGGCAGCGCGCGAGGCTCAAGATTCCGGAGCGCGATCGCCTAACGGCGAGGCGCCGCGCGGGCCGTGCCCTGTGTGTGGCGTTCACGGGGCTCCGCGCCGAGCGACGGAACGGCGCGCGCCTGTCGTGTGCCAGCTGAGGCAACTCGGCAACCTCTTGCCAAGAGTGACTGCGATAGAAATCAAATCGTCGTTCTGCTGGCTCTCCCCTTCAGGCAGCCCCCCCACCCAGAGTAACGCATCACAGCCCGAGTCGTTCACGCGTTCTGATGTAAAGACTGCAGGGGAATTGCAAGCAGACCAACACTGCAAAAAGCGCTTTCCAGCCGCACCAGCACTGGTGGAAGCGGGAACGCAACCGACAGTTCCATCGTTTGCCTTAACGTTCTAACACGTTAAATCAGGTGTTCTGCCTCTACTGCAGTCCTACGTTCTGCTACGGTAGAATCGGCACCATTTTGGTTTTCAATAGGATGATGCTACAGAAAGCCATCAAGGCGGAGCGGGCTGCGGTAGGGACTGAAAATCTGTGGTCATTTGCTGCCATCTATCGGCAATAATGAGCAAGAAAGGGTCAAAACCAAAACGGCGTCCTGTCGAAAATACAAAGCGTTGCAACTCAGACCTTGAAACTGGGGTTAATGATGGTACTGAGGGTTAGATCTGCAGGTGCAAAATGCAACGGCAGCCTTTGTTTTATCACGGGGTTGAAAAAAAAGCAATCCTGCCTCTCAAATAAGTTTTCTTGTTGTCTTGTGTGCTCTTATCTATTTTAGCACAACTTCAAGCTGGAAATGCATCTTGTGAGCATCTCTGAACCAGGAAGTTCTCATCTGCTGCCCTTCTCCTCCCATCTTCCTTGCCACAAGAAGCCAGTTCAATATTTTTTCTCCAATTTTCCATTCATTCACTAGATGGCATCGTGCTTCTCGTCATCTCGTAACGACACAAAAGAGAAAGACATCACATGCAGCCCCAAGAACACCAAAAGACAGTACCACAAAACCCCAAGTATTTTAGGGTCTAAGTTGTCAATATCAGTCATCAAACAATATTCAAATACATTACTTAGCAAAAGAGCTTTAACGTATATCATCTAGAAATTTAGATTGTGTGAAGTCAATGAAGTTCTGCCTCTCCCCCACCATTCTGTCAGCTGCTTACTCCAGAGTAGCTATGTGGGCTTAAGAACCAACTATTTGCACTTCCTAAGGCTGCAGCCATTTACAATAAATGCTAAACACTGTCTTACAGTACAGCATGAGGTTACCTTTGGTTATACTGCAGAATGTGTTCATCATTATGAGCACAATTAAACTCCTGTACCGTTTGGATGAACTTGAGGACGAACAGAAAACACAGTACCACAACATCTGTACATCAGTCTGGCAATGAAATACAGAATCTGTCTCATTGCTTCCAGCTAAATACGCTGTATTTAATATTCAGTACTCAGTAAATAAAGGTGACCTTTTCGTATTAAAGCAAAGCAGCAACAACTGTAATTAATACCTGGAAGACAAATTCCTGTCGTGATCACTATGTCACCAATATACACAGGTCACTGTTAGGCTCACAGCAGTTTCTTTCATAAGATTCATCTTTTATTTGTCCCTATTCCCTTCACTGTAAGCTTTCTTCTTTTGATCATCACATAACCTTATTAATTCGAATTCATATTAGTTTGCTTTTATTTTTGTCTCTTTCAGAATACATTATTTTCATTTGTATTCTCACTTCTGATATTCAGATTGAATTCCACTCCCAGCACGGTAGCACCTGAGAACAATTATTACTCCAACTTAAGTTTGCTTATAAAGGATTTTTTTGTTCTGAAAGCCTAGAAGGTTGCTTTACTCATTAAACTTGTTGCATTTGGGGAAAAAAAAATGAAACGCTGTTCTAGAAAAGGCTATCTTCATCATCAAGTCATTTTTTTCTACTCTAAACATCAAGCCTCTGGAAATTCCTCCTAGTGCTTGATTCAATCACAGTAAGCTTCTTTCACTGGCCAGTTTGTAGTCACCGCACAGAAGAAAGGATAGAGAAGAGAATCATTGTTAGAAAACACCAGAATTTGTAATGGTGCTATTAGAACAATGCATCAAGAAACAGAACAAGTAGGGCAGAGCAAGGAACTGAAACAGATACCAGTACTTACAGGTGCACTCCCACAGCACTTGAACAGGGCAAGCAGGAACACCAAAAGCCATCAGTACCCCCATAAGCCATAATCTTAAATAGCAACCACCAAAAATCAAAAGACAACAAAAATAAGATTATGATACAAAGCCAACTTACAGTTAACCAACAAGGCCAGAGACCCAGCCCTGCAGCTCAAAGCAAGTGCAAGTGCTCAGTTCTGAACCTAAATGGAGCCTCATGACTGAGGAGCAGAGGTCCCAGATGGAGCTTACCAGGACAATTAGACCTACTGATGTCCTCTGGGCCCTGACACTGACCACCATCAGTTGCAATCTCTGTGATAAAAGGATTTTACACTTAGATAGATTTCATGTTAGTTAATAAGATTATTCTGAAAGCTGTAGCTTTGTTAGTTATGTTCTTTGTCCACTTCCTGTTCTGAATAGGTGGAAAACCATTAAAACTTTCTTAAACAATTTCTCCTGCTTTCTTTCTATGTGGCTCTCTGTGATACAACACCATCACATCCACTGGATGTTTCCTACTCCCAAAATTACTCTTTGGTGCTCCTGTAGATATTCTGTAAGCTGCATAACCTCCCATGTTGCTGTCTTCATTTATCCTTCAGCCTCTAGCTGTCTTTTATTTCCCTGCACCATTTTTATGTATTATGGCTCCTTCTCAAACCTGTCTGTGATTGAAATTCTGCTCTATGTTTCGTAGAGCTTTTTGCACCAACCATTAACTTTCCTGACTTTTCTTCAGAGTTCACCCCTCTCTCTGCCATTGGCTATCTGAAGTTTTTATCTATTGTTTTCTCTAGATTATTTAATCATTTATGCAATTTTATTTCACCGCTGTTTACCTGAGGCAAAGTCTAAACCTGACTCACTTACAAACGGCTCCCAGCTGATTCTGGTGAGTGCTTTCCCAAAGGATATTGAAAGCTCTGTATAAAAGAAGCTCCCACTCCCTAGCTTCTGCTGGTGTTTGGAGAATGATGAGTGCTCAGGAAAAGGGCTTCAAGCTGTGTAAGTTAGGGTATGTGTTCAAGTATTAATGTGATTTATGTCAAATATATGTAGTCTGTCTTTTAAAGCATTATTCTCTTCTTTGCTTTTTTTAGTAAAAAGCTAAGTTAGTTTTCTTTTCAGTAGTTTTTTGTTTCCCTCATTACTTTACTTCCCCCCCCCTAAATTATATTTACTCTGGAAGTTTAATTTCTTAACAAAGTTAATAGGAGTTTTGCTTTTGCAGGCTTCATGTTGTTTGAGACCCTTTGGGAGTCTTTATTTTGTTTACAACGTGTCAGTAGAACAAAATGTGTGAAGGCCTAATCTTGAATGCTTACAAAGGAAGAGACAACCTTCTCCTGCACTTTCCTTCCAATGGAGTGGCTAACTCTTTAAACACCACAGGTGAGATTTCAAAGCCTGGATGACATGACAGGCCTCTGGGGGTTCTTGCAGAACCTTAGTTTGCCTTGTTCTGTATTAAATGTATTGACAGTATTTAGTTGTAGAACTAATAAAGTGTTAGAAATGCATAAATAATTACAGGATATTTTTCAGTCTCAAAGCAAGACAGGGCTCCTGACCAACAAGGGCTTCAACAATACTGGCCACCAGTCCTACTGGGCACATTTAGAAGAAACTTAAAGGGAGCATAATGCGTGTGGAAGAAGCAACTGAAGTAAAGATCTAGGCTTTGTGTGCTCCTCCTTGTTTTCTTCTTCTGCAGTGCAGCTCTTAGGGTGGGAGCTTTGTCACCAGAGGGAAAAATTATACTTGAGCAAGCTTAAGCTCTGATGCTGAGTTAATAACACTTGAAGTATTTCTACATTCAAACACTCCTGATGCAACTTCCCCATCTGCTTACTTCTCCTGGCCAAGCTTAAGCGCTCTGTACAAAACCACAGAAGAAGGGGCTTCTGCTGGGAGATGGCATCTGGGTGTGAAATTAGCAAGCCAAAAATGTAAAGTAGTGCTGTGCAAAACTCTCACGTTGAAACACAACGTGAAAACTTTCCTTTAGCTGTACCATAAGATAAAAAATAAAAAAAATGCCCTGGTATACTTTAAAACTGCCAAACTTAAGATTCAGGAAGCTAGATATAAAGTCCTTGAGGTCAAATTTGCAATAAACCCATAGCACAGTCAGGTGGGCTGGTTGCAGCCACCTGTTTCCTGATCCATTTGTAATGAGAGCCCCAGTAGGTCTGTGTGGGAGGACCTCCACCCCTGTGCAGTGGCCCATTTAAGCAAGGGAAGTGTTATGCAGGGGAAGAACTGTGTCTGTGCTGATCTAATTATAGGAGTGCAGCCAAATTTTGTGTTTACTGGACTAAAATTTGTCCCTCATTTGCTCTAAAATCATAAGCTATTTACATAAAGTAATACAAGTTCTAGAGTGACAGAACTGTAAGCTCATTATCTGAGTATGGCAAGATGGTGCTGTGCAAATGTTGTGATACTCTGCTTTCTCCAAGCAGTTGCTGGGAGATCCTTCATGTAGAACAGTGGTAAGTATTAAATGCTACGGAAGGCTGCTGCTTTATTAAAGCTCTTACTCACTATGTCTTCATTCTTTCTAGGGCATGAGTGTCCAAGCTTGTGACTTGCCTGGGCCACACTGAGAAAAGAGGAATTGTCTTGTGCTGTATATACATATGTTGCTCCAAAGGTAATGCCTCCTATTTATTTCCATGGTAAATACAGCTGATAGAAAGAGCACAATAACAATATTTGATAGGGCAAATTCTCAGCTACAAAACACTATTTTCCAACATAGTCTGCACCATTAGCTGTGCATTTTTGCCAGCAATTAACAACCACCTCTGTTGCCATACTCATAATAATCTGTAGCAGCAAAGGTGACTCTCTGCTGAAATGCACCAGCCTCTGCCTCACTGTGCTGACCAAAGGCAGCTCCCTCAGCCAGCCCTGGGATGCCAGGTGTGCTGTCCCTCCCCAGCCCTGAGGCCCTGGGCTCTCACCCCATATGGTTGCATCTTTCCCATACTGGAGTGGCCAGGAGCAGACACAGAAATCCACACGCAGACTCACAAGCTCCAAAAAACAGAGGAACATTTATTGGTTTTGGTAATTTTGTGGGACAGGATCTTTTATAATATTGTTTGTGTGCTTTTTCTTTTCTACTCTTTTCTCTTTGTTTTGATTCATTTATTGTTCAATGTTGAGCAGACATCCTTATTCTGAGCCTCACCCTTCTTCCCATCAGCACCAAAGTTTTCTGTTCCTCCATAGCAGCAGCCACTTCTGTACCAGCTCTGAGCCCTCCTCACAGCCCCAGGCAGCTCGGGTCCGTCCTCCAGACTCCTCCTGTTGCCCCAGCACAGCAGCTCAGAGGATGCTGGAGTTCTGGGCACAGGGTCCCCCTACTTATAGGACTTGGAACCAAAGGCTGACTCTTCACATCAGTAGGGCATGGTGATGCCATTCTAACAGTGTCCTATGGTGAACAAAACATGGAGATGTTGGGAGTTGGTGCCTACGGCATGAGAGTTGGCCCGGTGTTAAAGGAGCGGGAAGGATAGAGATGCTGAGGGCTGTTCTCCTGGTGAAGGCTCCCCCATACCATTTTGCTTGCTGAAGAGAATAGTTTCCTGTTAGGCATAGGCACCCACTGGGGCTCCAGCCACCCTCTCATTCCAAGTATGGGATCCCTTGGATGAGAGGATGGCAAATGTGTCCCATGAGGTCTGGGGAGGGTCTGCACTATTCTGACCCAGCTGCCTGCACGTGGAGCCTCCTGGACGTGGAACTGCTGCTGTCACTGGGGCAGAAGCAGTTTGCACAGCAGTGTGAGGGGCTGAGCAGCAATCAACCAGTTGGGCTGGGTGCGTTTGCCAGGCAGCTCTGCAGATGCCGTGAGTGAAGAGACGGGGATCCTTGATCCTTGGTAGAAATCAGATCCCTGAGAGATCACAGCCAGCTTGTTCTGCTACCTGAGATAAAGTGTTGAAGCAGGTGGGTCATGTGAGCTGTGGTACCTCCAAAGACTCTTCTGGGTGCATCTGTATCTCGTGTGGCTCCAAAATCCTGCAGTCATAGTTCATATAAAAATCACACTCCTGGATGAGAAAATGTTTATGCACCGTCCTCTGCAAGCCGCATACAACCTTCTTTGTTTCTCTATCAATATTTATTTATTTATCAGAATGGGTTTTAAAAGTCTTCTAAGCCATGATACAGTTGAATTTAAAAATAATCTTCCTTGTGTGCAGATTGTATTTTTGAAATGTTTTGGGCAATATCCTTAATGACCACAGAGAAAGTCACTGAAAGTACAGTGAATTCTGTGTTTTGAGCAAGGGAGCCTATGCCTTTTTTTTCTAGAGCAAGTAGAAATGTAAGGGACAGAGATATACACCGATTGCTCTCAAAGCAATGCCTCATGTTTATTTCCATGGGTACTGCAGCACATACAAAGAGCACACTAACACTATCTGATAGAGCAAATTCTCTTCTACTCATTGCTATTTTTCTCACTACTAACCACTGTTAGCTAATTTGTGTATGGGCTGATGGAAACCCTCTTCATTCTGTGATGTGACAACTGTGCATGGGCAATCCAGAATGTGGTTTGTCTTTTGTGTCACTTTTGCCACTGCTGAAATGCACCACCCACCACCTCACTGTGCTCTGATTGCTGTTTTGTCCTCATCTGCGTTCAGCAAGCGTTGATGAATGTCTTTGGTGCCATTCTTTTGTATGCAAGGATTCAGTGACACACCCTTGCTTCTTATGCACTTCCATGTCAGACAGCATCCCGTCAGACTGCCCCTCTGTTGTACAGCAACAGCATACAATGGGATACTGATGGGAAGGTTTCACCACTGCTGCCATCCCACCATCATCCACCTCTGATACTATAGGCCAACATCACAAAATAGGAGGCATTAGTTTTGGAGCAGCCTAAAGGATACATTTTGTGTACATACGTTACAAAGCTTACCGTATTTCTTACGTTTTTTTTTTTATTAGATCATAAAAAAAAATAAAAAGAGAGCAACAAAAACATAAACAAATGGGATGTTTGACCTTGTTTCGTTGAAGCTAGGTTCAATGGCAGTGGCTGCAGTTCCCAGTGAGCTCTCAGGGAGTTCGTTGTAGATTTTTCATGACATTTTGCTCTCCGTGTGCTTCATCCTTGACAGCAGTTGTTTACAAATGTACATACTGCCAGAAAGCCATGGCAGGAATGAGGTGCAATTGTGAAACGAAGGATACTTTTCTCTGGGTAAGACAGATTATGAAAATCTATTAAAGAGACATTTATTCATTTTTGAGTTGAATCTCTGATTGCAATTCAATTTATTCTATTTGAAAATCTGCAGGAAATGTATATCAACTGAAAATGGAGGAGTCACAAATATACCAAAAAAAAAAAAAAGGATGATTTTTTCAGCAATCTTGAAAGCTGTTCTCAGATTCCTTCATCCGAACAGAAAGCTCAGCTGCATATTTTTCACTGTTTCCAAGTCTGTGTTTGTCCAGTGTATTAAAAGGCATAACATTATTTGCCACAGCGTGAGTCAGCACTGCACTGCACCCTCCCCATGCCCTGGGTTCAGCCCACACAGTGCCAACTGCACACCGACGTGTGGCTGTTGCTGAACTTTGGTGCAGCTTCCAGTATGTTTTCACTGCTGTTTGCCAGTTCCTTGCTTTGCTTAATGCTCCTTCACATAAAGGGTTAGGATGACAAGCTACTCAGCCTCTACCAGCAAAAAGTTCAGATTTCTCAGTCTCAGTTAAGCTTTGCATAGTGTTTCCACTGCTGTAGAAAACAGAATCTTCAGGTAAATTGGATGCAGTTGATAGTTGTTAAAATCTTGGTCTGAAAACCTAATGGAGAACTGAAAAGCACGGCAGAAATGAACGCTCAATAGGATGCAACTGGCTGTGAAGTCACACACCATCATTTTGAAATCTGCTTAAATAACAAGATGTCAGTAAATAAGACACGAGGGGACGAACTGGTGAATCCTGTAGCAGAGACTCTCCAACAGAACTGTGACTAAAATCTACCGTATGCCACTGAACTCTCAAGTGTAGGAGTGAAAGGCTGAAATTTGGGGTTAGGTGTGGTAGTTCCCCACTGAAATGGATCAAATTATCCTTGGCCCCACGGTCAAATCTAAACCCTCACTCACCTACTGTAATGCCCGTCAACATTTAATGTCATTGGGTATCATCTCAGTTTGGAAGCTAAGTATAACTTGAATTTAGAAGCAATGTATGAACCAAGGAACAACTCAACCATAATATTTTAATGTTATGAATCCGAGACCTAGAAGCTTTATGCAAATTAGATAGGATCCTAAACGAACGAAAGCACAAAAGCAACATTATTCTGGAAAAGCACTGTGCATGAGCAGATCGTTAAAGTCCCCGACTTTGCAGGCTGTTCTTTTGGCACTGTCTGTGTGATCTCTGTACTTCTTGGATTATTTAATTTAAAACTTAATGCTTCTTGAAGTTGCACCGGGCATCAGGGGGCTCAGAAAGGTAGAGGGAATTGACTGGGACTGGGAGAAGGGGCTGAGCCCAGGATTTCCTCTTACCCTTTGAAAAGAGCACATTAGCATCTTAGTCTTATGGCTCGATAGCAAAGCAGGAGATCAGTCTCACATTCCATTTAAGATCTATCCACACATAAGGAAGCACATTAACATCTGTGTGAAGCAGGGACCAATCTGCTGCCAATGGTTATAACATTTTCTCTTCTTGCACAACGCAGAGGGGGAGATGTGGTCATTTAAAGCAGGTAGTTATTTATTCCCATTGAACAAAGGCAAGTTTAAACATTACCCTTCCCACAGCCATTAGAACAATGATGTCAGACTCTGTGGAGGATTTGGGGCTCTGGAAAAGATCAAAGAAAGCACGAAGGTGTGGGTTGGTAAAGGAACAGTGTATAATGGAGGTGGGTTGACAGCTATTACATTTTGCAGCACTGTGAAACTATTTGATTAATTCTCATTAACTGCGTTAGCCCACTATTTCTTCTCAAAAGCAGCAAAAAGAAGGCCTAATTAGTATTTCAGAACCTTGAAATGTGTTAGTGAAGCATTTGTCATCAGATATTTCAATCAAGCCTTGCTGTATGGATGATAACTTTGTTTTTTGGATTTGAAGCACTTAATCTGCTGGCTGATTCCAACCAAATGAGGGGAGTGTGTTTCAGAAACAGCTTGGAGTAAATCTGGCAAAAATCTCCACCTGTCAGGAGGAAGATTTGTTTGCTTCTAGGTGTGCTGAGGCTCCAGAAGCAGATCTCATGCAGTCTGTATGCTACAGGCAAGGCCTCGTGTTTGCCCAAGGTAACAAAGCAGACATCATATTTTGGGGTTTTTGTCCTCTTTCTTTTGTCATAACCAAATGGTTTCATTGCATTGCTAGAAAGGTCACTGTTGCCAGACCTCGATTTCCATCCGTTTTCACACTAGATGCTGCCTTCCCCATCCAACCTAGTAGAAATACTTGGCTTTGTATTGGTAAAATGAATTCATACATGTATATTTTTAGCCTCAATTCACGTTTCAGATCTACTTGAACGCTTCTGAGAAATCTGTGGTTATTTGGAGAAGTGTGGATCTGTTTGATGTGGTGTTTCTGGATTTTTGAAAAGCCTCTGACAAAATCCTTTGCTTAAGCAAGCTTCCACAAGGTTTAAAAAAGACTTTTGGTAGATTAATAACTGAAGGAGCAAATATAAGGGGAAGAGAAACTTGTCAAGGAAATTCAAAGGGGATTTGTGATAGGACTCGTACAAACTATTCTCCAATAGTCAGGAAAAAAGGAAATCACTTGTTAGCTTGCTGATGGTTTTAGATAGCTCTGGGGAGTAAAAGTAAGTGCAACAGCAAAGAGCTACAGCGTCTCAAAGTAAATGACTGAACGTTTCAGACAGCTGAAGTTGTGTCATTAAACAAAGTATTTTGCAGAACAAAAGCGCACCAAACAATGAAACGCAGTGCTGGTTTCTGAATGAACCTCTTATAATTCCAGACTGATTCTGGAGTTACTGCAGCCAGTTTTGAGATCGATGTGATGCTCTGGTCTGTCCAGAAAAGCACTGAAGAGAGGTATGTAATGAGAAGTGTCAATGGACCAAAACAGCGCAGGCTGCTTCACAACTCCGGCTGCACCAAATATCGCATTCTAGCCATTCCTCATCTTAAAACAACAAACGAGCTTAAAAAGCAGATGAATAAGGAGATGAAAAACCCATCTATGTGCTATTAGACACTGTGATACAGCCTGTGACTCAGGTCTGCCTTCCATGAGCTGAAGAAGATGGAGAGTGCACAGAGGGGAGTAAAATATTATGCACGCCTGGTTCTGTCTTCAGTTTTAAGTTGTAGTCTTGGCACAGGAAGCTGTTCTTGCTGATTTCTGAAGCTCTTCTTACAGCAAACACTGGCTGAAATCAATCTTAATGAAACTAAAAACTTTTCTGGAAAAAGATTTATTTGTGTGGGCTGGAGAGAGAAAATGGCATGGAGCCTGGGAATCCAGGGAAGAAAAACAAGAAGAGATTAACATGAAAGGTTTTGGCATAAGAAAGATATTGAGCAGAGCAACTTTGACAGCACCAACCACTCCCTGAAAGGCTCCTGGGGACCTGGGTGCCGCCATACAATGCTGTGTGCAGCAATGTGATGGCAGTCGATACACAGGGATGGCGGTCTCAGCTCTGTGGCCATTCTCACGGCTGCAATCTCAGTGCCGGAGCTGATGTAGCAGAAGTGTTTTGCTCGGCACCTAAAGCACAAGCTGTTCTAAGCTCTGTTGAGATCTGAAAGTGATGCTGACTTGGTAACAGCCCAGGCACCCCTGACACCACGCGAAATTGCCTTTCCTTCCAACTTCCCATTTCAAAATGCTTGCTTTTCAGAGATGTTCACTTTCTGGGGACAACCAGAGTGACTCTGAGGCAGTTTATTTAAATTTTGGGGCCTCATGGTACTGTTCCAAGTACTGATGACCAACCCCTTGCTCCATCCTTTCCACTCGAGCAAGGCTCACATCTCTAAGGACAACCATTTTTCCAACTGTGTCTCATCAGGTTTTGAGGTCATCAGATTAATTCATGGCACGGTTACAGGATTTTTAGCATGCATTTGCCAAAACCAAGGAAGTATAAATCAGATTCTGCATTCATCTCCTGCAGCGTTACTGAAAAGGAAAACACATGGGTGTTGTAGATAGCGGTATCACTGCATGCCTGAGGAAATAACAGCTAACGCCTACTGCACTGTCCTGCAGAGCTCTCTGTGAGATTACGAGGTATCTTCTCTGTGCTTTTTGTTCAACACAGATTCTCCTTTTTCTCCTTGAGTCTTTTAAGCCCCTTCATTTTTTCACCCAGTTCTCAGCGCTTTGTCCAGCAGAGGGGCAGCTTCCAGTTTTGCACTAACCATGGCTCAGTTTTCCGCCAGGCTTAGCCTTTAAGTTACAACACAGAAATGTGGCAAAAGCAACTTTTCCCTCTCCCTGGAATTTCTTGGAATTTACAGTCCTATTGTGTTCCCTAATTAGAGCACATTCCTTCTATTCCAAATGGACTTTTTTTTTTTTTTTTTTGACAGTTATAAATTACTTGCATAACTTATGAGTAAATTACTTACTAATTTGCAGTCAGTTTCACCTTGATCTCTTCTTAGTGGGACACCACACACAATAAATCCCATCAGTTTAGAGTTTCCTGAATCCCAGCTTTAGTCAACGGGACCTGCATTGTCACAGTCATGCCCCAACACTGTTATTTCACCAGCATATAAGCATAAGCAATTTGCCAGATTGGGCCAAATGAATGCTAAATAGCTCTTCGCTTGTTTCATGTCATGCCCTCCAAGGTTTCTTAATCTGCTGGATGGCTTCATGATGCACTCTGACAGAAGCTGCTGCTAAGCACATTTAGAAACGTGCCAAAGTCGACCACGCAGATTCAGTGCATAAAGCCATGCAGTCAGAAGCAAACTATGGGCAATTCTTTAGCAGGAGGGAAAGGATTGGTTGCTTAAGGGAATGTTTGAATGTGCTTGCCTCTCTTCTGTAATTCATAAATACCTAAATATTGCTACTCCACACTGAGACAGTGAGCAAGCAATCCACTGGAAGAGTTAAAGCCTCAACAACCACACAAGATACAGCCATGAAAAACAACTTTCTTTTTTTTCGGCCTTCACTTTTTCAACAAGTTTGAAAATCCAAACAAGGACTTTGTCTGTTGTTTGATTTATCCTGGGCTGGGAAAATAGACCTTAGACTTTTTTCTTTTTAATACATATTGCCAAATTTCTTAATCAGAATAACATGCATTCATATTTTTGCTAATGACTAATTAGAAGAGGAGAGACTGTAGATGTCGTAGGATGAAGAACAGTTGTTCATAGGTTTGATCCATCAGTCGTATCCAAAAGGGCTTTGAAGGCTTTTCTAAATATATATTTACATGTAGTTTTCTAATGCTGAGAAGTACACTGCATGTGGTGTCCCACTGATGTCAATGAGACTAATCCTGAAGTTTGGATAATATCAAGCAAGTTAAAATTTCATGATTTGTTCCCATTCTGAAAGATAAATCCTGCCCAAAGTTTTCTATGTAGTAGCCATTGTGATAACCTAAGAACCAGAAGGAGACCAGAAGGGGAGAATTGAATAGACGAGCCACAGAACTGAGAACTGCAGATGAAGGTGAAACACATGCATTTACCACTGGAAAAAAAAAAAGGGGATAAGGTCTGCAGAGCTGGAGTAACTGTTTGAGAGGTCTGCTGCAGATCCAAACATGGAGTGACTGTATGAAACTGCCACGTCCTTAATGAGCAGTGTCTATGCAAGAGACTGATGGCTGCTGAGGGACTGTTTCCCTGGTTTCCTACAGTGGCAGAATGTGTAGAACAGAGCTTTGCAAGTTTGCTGTCATTAGATGCTCTTCTGCCTCTGGCTCCGGTTTGGAAAAATGGTGAGGCAGAAAAATCCGTGCTCCAGCCCCTCAAGAGGGGAAGAAAAAAGATGGTAATGCCTTTTATTCCAGAGTGGGCTGCATTTATGTCATATCAGAGGAATTATTATTCATTTCAAATAGCTACAAATGATTTGGAAAGAAATCAGCAGGATATTCCTATAATGAGGCTCAAGTCTACTATTTTATCTCCCTACAGCAACAACAGTTTCCAGGGGTATCTTCAGGAGCTTCAGATATGTAGATGGAACAGACTGTCAAAGCTAAATTCTCATGTGTGGACGTAAGACAACTTTGCATTCCAAATCTTACGCAATAAGGCAACTAAAGGGAACAGGAGGTGGAGAAGGAACATCAGCTCTGCTATAAATGATTTTGCAAGGGATAATTTTGGCCCTGTGTTTGTACAGACTGCACTCCTTGTAAGAACAGTAACCCACTAGCATTAGCTGTTAAAGAGAGGTCAAGTAATATCTTATGAATCAATACCACTGAGGATGAATTTTACTGCCAAGACTCTCGTAAACAGAACCACCAAGAATGGAAGGTTAAAGATAGCAACATTGCCTGTATTGAGTCAGCACTGACTGCGTAATAAAGTTTTACAAACTGCACAGGTGCCCACTTTAAACACCTCACGATTGGACTCAAATTATGGCCTCAAGTTGCGTGAAGGGAGGTTTAGGTTGAATATTAGGAACAGTTTCTTCTCCAAAGAGTGAGGTGCTGGAAAGGGCTGCCCTGGGAGGTGATGGAGTCACTGTCCTGGAGATGTCAGAGAGCCGTGCAGATGTTGTGCTGAGGGACGTGGCTTAGTGGGGGAATATTGGTGGAAGGTGGATGGTGGACTGGATGATCTTGGAGTTTTTTTCCAGCTTAGGTGATTCTATGACTCAATTCCTATTCTGTTCAAATTCTTTTCCAAAGAGCATAGGCACACCTGAGAAAATTATCACATGTGGGACTACTGAAACAGAACTCTATCAGTGTGCAGGATGTGTGCTTTAGATCACATTGAGCCACCCATCCAACCTGAAACACGTAATAGAGCATTCAGACAGCCTTACTTTAGGGACCTAAAATTAGTTACTTTGAGTCACGCTTCAGAAGAACTTATTTTTGGCCTGTACTATACAGGAAGCTTAAGTTCCTTGGCACCTTATTCACATGCTGTCATTGCTTTTGCCCCCATCCTTCGAATAGATACATTCTCTGCTTTAAAAAAAGTTTATGCAGTAAGTGTATTTCTAAGTTGCACCCTTCTAGCTCACCAAAATGTTTCCTATATTTAGGCAGAGCAGTGTTTCTCAGATTTTTTTAAATAATGCAGAAGAGGTAACAGATGTCTCCAGATGAGATTTCTAGCTACGATCCAGCATCATGTGTTGTTTTTAAAATCAGTGCCCCCGTTCATTTGATTAAAACTAGTGATTTGAATTGCATTCACACGCTTCAGAATATTGTTTGGAGTGACTAATCCTACTGCCATCTTGCTCATTGTTCCCCAAGAAAGTAATAGCTGCAGTTGAGTTCTTAGGGGCAGGAGGGAAGATGAGCAGCAGTAATTACTGCTCTTCACTGTTTATTCCACACAAGGAATTGCAACAACCCAAAAATCCTTACAGTGACTTAATTTCTCAGGGGCAGGGCAGTAAACACTTCAACAGAAAGCTGTAATTATAGTCCTTTCTCACGTCCTTGTTTGAAGGGATGGAGCAGCTCCTTGCGATGGAAATGGCCTTGTTAGTCTAAAGACTTGCAGCTAATAACTACGGATGCTTCTTCTGGGACGATGTATGTTAATGTTAATCTTCTCTGCAAGTGGGTGAGCAGCATGGCAGCAGCTTCCTGGCTGCCTTTGGCACCTCTCAGCGCCTGCTTTGGGTGACTGACCGATTTAGAAACATGGGGAGGAGAAAGTCTGAGGATCTTCATCACTGACAACAACAACAACAAAAAAACAGCTACTCCGCTTTATTTTTGCACTGGTGCCTTTTGAGGCACAGGAGTATCACAGGGCAGGGTAAATATCATAGAGACAGTATGAAGCTCATGTTGGATTGGGTTTTCTTTTCCAAAGCCTAATATACATGGAAATCCGTCCCTTAAAAAATTCAACTTCGGTCAGAAAGTACAGATGGGTCACCAAGGAAAACATCCACGTAGGAAAAGTACCTGACTGACAGCTGAGAGAGCAGAAACCGCCGTCAGAGTCGAGTGACAAGTTTCCTAACTGCTGATGACTGCTGGTGTTAGCTGACCTAAGGCAGCATGCCATCCAACAGGGGAATGTGTTAACACTGCTACTCGATCCACTGTTAACAGTCGAAATTTCACATGAATGGGAAGGCTAATTTTTTTTTTCTCAACTACAACGCTTGGGTTCATCAATTCTCAGGATTTTATGCCAAACAAAACAAGTGGCAACCATATTTAGGTTGCTCTCGATTCGTATTCCTCCTACTTAATAGGAGAGGAAAAAGCTGTTGATGCAAGTAGCACAGACGGGCTCCTTGTTATGAAAGCTAGTCCTTCATCATATGACTTGGGAACCAAATGTGCTTTTACACACTGCTACAGCCAAAACATATTGCAAACTTGAAGAACAAATGTATTTTTGACTCACTTGGCAACATGTGTCATGTTTTTTTCCTTCTAAATAGCAGAATGTCAGTACACTGGGGAGCAAGGATTAGTTTTTTAGTAATTATCAAATGTAAATGATTCAATAGGCAGAAAATACTTTGAAATCACAAGTTCTATATGCATGATTACTGTTGTAATTGCTGATGGACTCAATTCTCCTTTCTTCTTCTTTCAGATTCTGAAAACAGGAATCATTTCTGAGAACAACGAGGTCAAATTAGTTAGCAGCACAACTGAGGTGCTGATAGCACATTTTGCACGTTTTTGCCAGGAAAGTAAGTGTCTAATTCTGGTGGAAGGCAATTGTGTGCCTGAGGTACAGCAGTCACACATGAGGAGATTCGATGGTCCAGTTAAACGAGCACCCTGAGGCTGGCAGTGCTCATGTTTTTGTGCTTTATGTATATATATATACATAAAACAGTGTAGCTATGAAGCCACAGAGAGCACCTTTGGCATTCCTTATGTATCTGCCAAGTTCAGTTTCAGAAAACTGGACTAGAATTTCAATGTTTTTTTTTTCTTCTCCAAGTCCAAACAACAACATCCATATGCTTCACATTTAATAAACACTTAATGAACATTTAATAAACGACAGCTGCCATTTGAACCAACTGCTAGCACATTTGAGTAAAAAAGAATTACCCAGAAGAGACAGAAAAGAAGTAAATATAGATTTTTCAGTTTCAAGGCACATCTAGAATGTTTGAAAAGTATTTTTACTTATCCTTATACGTACATATTCTTCATTACCACTTCTAGGCCAGGAACCCAGTTAATTAGAGTTTATGATACAAGTATTCATTTCAAAGTTTGGCTTCACCTGCTGTTTATTTTTGTTTTCACCAGCAAAACAGGAAATGTGACAGAATGTGCAAACAAGTTTGACAGAAGTCAACTTTTATTTGTATCTCAAGCCAAAAATTCACATATAAATTCTTTGCAAAGGGTAGATAGGAGGAAATAGAAAGTGATTTTAATGCTTCTACAAAAGATGTCAAGAAATAAAACCAAATAAAAATAAAAATGATAGTCCAAACTGCTTAGTAATAATGTAAATGCTGACAGAAATAGTCCACAAGAACATGTGATACAAACTCTTCTAGGAATGGAAAGGCACTGTGAAAGTTCTGAGCACGCAACACAAAATCATCGCCTTTCTTCTACTAAGAGCATAGGCGTGGGCAAATGAGAAAAAGCAAAACTCTCTTGTTTTCGGCAATGCCTGCTTGAAAATGTTTGGCTGTTTGTAGTAGTGGAAATAGCAAAGTATTTTATCCTGGTCTCATCCCACAATTCAGAACAAATACTTTCACTGAAGCTTTGAAAAAACATTATTTGATTCACCGGAAGGGATTATAGACTTCCACTTTCCCAAGATGTTACAAGAAAAATACTTGATGGGAGAGGTATGAAGTAGCATAGAGCCTCCCTTACGTGTCTGGGTAAACCTTATTCACACAGTGTTGCTTTACTGGTACTTTTGTGCAGAAGAAAGCTACAGCACTTGTGCTGACTATGTTGTGATGGCTGTAAATGGAGGTAGCATTCAAACTGGTGTATGGATCGCACACTGGATCATTTCCTGCTGCACTGGAGTGGAAATAAAACTAGTGGGTGGCACAAAAGGCGTGTTAATCAGAGAAACACAGAACATCTTCAGTAGGAAGGGAGTCATAAGGATCGAGCCCAGCTCCTGGCCCACTCAGTGACAATACGGTATAAATGCACTCCTCAGGAAAACAGTGTGAGAACACCTGAGCATCATGGCTTTATTGCATACAGGTTGCATTTCTTCTCTTTGTGGTGTTTTTCAGCATTCAGTTAGCTGTTTTTTCTTCTGGGCTAGTTTGAGTTTAAAGACCAGAAAATAGGACTTGCCCTTGTCAGTAGCTTTATATCTAATGAATTTGAAGCTGTTCAATGGTCACAATGTAACTCTTGAGGGGAAATTCAATTAACAATTATATTTAGGAGACAGCTGGAGATAACAGCTATCAGCACTGCCTGTTATCACACATTCATCGCAGCTTTATCCAGCACCCACAGAGGCCAACGGCAGGACCAGGCACTGCCAAGCCCTGTCTCACTGACCAGCATTATTATTTACCATAAGCTTCTTAGGCAGCCTCACAATCTGCTATCAGACCCCGTGACTAATTATTTCCATCACAAACTCCATCCCTGTTTCACATTTGGGCAAGGAGAGGAGGGGACGGCCTCACGTAGTGCCAGGGGAGGTTCAGGCTGGCTGTTAGGAACAATTCCTCCTCCCCAAGAGCGGTGAGGCAGTGACACAGCTGCCCAGGGAGCGGTGGGGTCACCTGGAGGTGCCCCAGAGCCGTGGGATGAGGCACTGAGGGACGTGGGCAGTGGGCACGGTGTGCTGGGCTTGGACTGGGTGATCTCAGAGGTCTTTCCCACATCCCCAGTTCTGTGTTTCTGTGACTGACGTTCAGCTCTCTTCCGCAGCCGTTGAGGGCGGTGGAAGGACGGCTTTACGCGCCGTACTTCGGGATCCCTGCCGCTTGACAGAATGGCTCTGTAACGAACCGCAAAACCACAGAGAGTGAATTCTAAACTCGAGTGGGAGCAAGGGCCTTTCCCCAGCAACGCTCCACAGCCGCGCGCCGCGCCCAGCCTGCCGGCGCCGCTCGGAGCGCTCAGCAGGCGCGGGGCGGCTCTCGTGAAATGGCGGCGCCGCCACAGAGCGCCCGCGGGGCGCCAACGGGCCCCCGTTCCTCGGCCGGAGGAAGCGCTCCGCCGAGCGGGAACCGCCCTCGGCCCCCGCCTTCCGCCGGAAGCGAGCGGGGCGGGCGGTCGTCGGCCGTTTGCTCTCTCGCGGCGGAGCCGACGCGGCACGCCGCTGCCGGAGCGCTGGAGGGCGGCGGCGGCGGGCCGGGAGGAGGCGCAGGACCGGCCATGGAGCTACCGCCGCCGCAGAAGGAAATCGTCTACAACAAACTGCTGCCCTACGGCGAGCGCCTGGAGGCCGAGGCGGACCGCTTCCTCGCGCAGATCAAAGGCAACCTGGCGCGGGCCGTGCAGCTGCAGGAGCTGTGGCCCGGAGGGCTCTTCTGGACCAGGAAGCTCTCCACGTGAGTGCCCGGCGCCGGGGAGGTTTGGGCGGCGTGGGGCGGCGGGACAAAGCCGGCCCGGAACGTTGCGAGCGCTGCGGATCGAGCTGGCTTTTCTCAGCTGGTTATTTCGCCCCAGAGCGCTATTTCGTCTTTGTTTGGTTGCTTGCTGCCTGCTTGGCCACCTGTGTGACCTCTCGCCTTTCCGAGCGGGCCGAGCGAGGCGTTATCTCTGCTGAGTTGTGCCGTGCTTAGCGCCCTGGCTTCGTTGTTAAACGCGTTTCCGTAGTTATAAGTCGTATTTGTGCCAGGAATGACGAGCTGTGTGCTTACAGAGTCCAGAGAGCCTCTCGTGGAATTCTCCTTTCTGCCCTTTTTTTGATCTCGTTGTAGATCGATAGGGATCCTGCGTTGCATGTTCGGTGCGTACGTACGGAGCTGCCTGTGTTTGCCAGGAGGCATTCTTAGATAGAGCTACGTCGATGGTTTCAAAATGACTCACTTGGTTTTGCTATGTGACAGTTTAACCTGCTTGGAAGCAGCTCAGCCCTGCTTCGTGACCCCCCGCCCAACCTCAGGGAGCTCCCACTGCTTTCAGTTGCCTCGTTGGAGTTGTGGTAGAACTCCACATGCTAATCCAGCTGAAGTAAGCCACGACAGCTCTTACGAAGATAAAGGTCTGCGTGAGGCACCTCGGCTAAACGTGGCACGTAAATCCTTTAAAATCGTGTGGGGTTGTGTTAGAATTGCCCCACGTCCTGTCGGCGCCGTGACCGTTAGCGATTCAGGCTTCAGGGCACTGATTTTAACCTGCTGAGAGCTGCCGCTGTGCCACTCTATGAATCAGGAGGCTCTAATTTGTGGTTTCCCACCTGCTCTTTGAAGTTTGAATTCATTGTGTGTTGTGCAACTTGTCTGATGCCTCTTAGTCCAAAGATTTCTTTCTGGCCTGTTCTATGCAGTAGGCAAGCCTTGGAGCACATGTGGTCACAGGCAGGGAAGGAAACAGTGGCGCTGGTTTAAAAATAAGCCTGTGCTGAACATGAGAGGTGTTTTGCTGCTCAGCTGAACTTGACAGAGTTCTTCTGCGGGCTTAAATGCTTTTATTACAGCTTAGGCCTAGATGAAACATTTCCCAACTCTGTTGTGTTCTGATTTTGTATCTGTATCAAATTATAGGAGGATGACTAGAAAATCTAAGTTTTGTTGTCTGTTGATAGCAAGTAGTTCATCTCAGTGTCAGCTTAGTCCCTTTCTCCCTGCTCACCAACTGTCATGAATTTAACTTTTTTTTTGGTGGGAGAGTGCAATGGATCTTCATAGTAGTAAGGTTTCTGCTTTGCTTGGTTGCTACAGATACCTGAATCAGAAAGGCCAGTATTCTCACAGCATTTATAATTCAGTCATGTCTGACGTGTCTTTATTCCACGTACACTTTAAAGTGCTAATGCAAGCATTTTAAGATGTACATAGACATAAATAAGTCAGGAGAAAAACCCACTCTACCAAAGACTCGAGGTGTGTGCACTCGTGTTGTTGTGCCTTCTCAGGTGCTCTGTAACTTCATGCGGTTGTGAATGAACCCTGTGGGCTACAAAGAATGAAAGTGAAACTCAAATCTTTTTGGGAATTAAAAAATTTGAAATCGGTTTCTGTTGCCTTACTTTGACATCACAGCTGACCCTGAGGTCTTTTAGTTCCTATACTCTCAGCAGTTGAGAGCATGACTTGCACATTGTTATCTTAAAAGGAGCTTTCTCGTCTTGCTGATGTCATGGACTGAGGTGGGGGAGGAACAGGGGAAAGAGCAAAAACGGCCTTTATCAGATAAGAAGTCTATAGTCTAATTTGCGTAATTTGCATTTTATGCATAACAGTAAGTCATGTAAATGGATCGCTTTGGTGGAATGTGTATACAGAGTGTAGCAAGACAGCTTTCTCTTGCAAAGACAGCCACTTAAGTAACTTATGACTCAGTGAGACTTCTTGTGCAAGGGAAAGTGCTTGCCTCAAAGACTGGCATTCAAAAGCAGTCATTACCCCCAGACTCCCCAGACTTTGGCTGGTAAAATCTCTATCTTATAAAACACTAATCCTGTTGTGAAAGCAGAAAACCAAATGTCAGCTGTTGTATAACTTGCTACAGTGTCCAAAAAAAACCCAACAAACCGACGACAACAGAACACGTTGCATCAAAATCATTTGTTTAAATGGACTTGCATCATACTTCTGTTGTTTTATAGGTCAAAAATAGATTGCCGTTTCAATTTTATTCACTTCTTTACGTTTCATGTTGAAACTAAATAGGTTTTCTTCTAGGGCATAGCCTGTAAATGTGCACATTAATGCAGTATGAGCAATTAAGCACGTTCAGTTGACTTTGCAGCCTGAAAAACACGCAAATGTCTTTCTGTGCTTTCTGCTTGAATAGGTAAGGGTGGAGTTTTTAGAGCTGAGGGAAGGGCTTCTGTTCCTACGATGGCACCTATGTGTTTGTCTATTACAAAATGACATTTAGATGTCAGGTATGCAAAACTGTATCTCAGCCGTTTTGGATGATAGGGCACAGCAAGGATGATGGCCTCTCAGTGGGACCTGCTGAAGTATTTTAATTGCTATCACAATATAAATCTTTTTTTTTTTTTATCCCTACCTGTTTCCCTCCCATCGTTAACAGAAAAATATAAGCCTTCATTTTGGGTACGCAGTGGTTACGTGCATGTATGGTGTACACACACATCTGATTGGAGTAGTTTTAGTGAGCATGAGTCACTATTTTCAATGCAGTTTGCCAAAACCCGAGTTTTAGGCCAATTGTAATGCTGTCCTATGTGTTAGAAAGCAAAAGCAGATAGCTAGGAATTCAAGAGAGTGCTCTACTCAGCTT